CTGCATCCAACTTGTCATTCATTATCTGACCTCTGGTTCTTGGAACTTGTACCAGTGACTTACTGTTGTTGTTGTTGTTGTTATTTGCCATCGAGTCGGCCCCCGACTCCTAGCGACCCCTCCTTGAGTTTCCGAGGCAGTTATCATTACAGAAGTAGGATTGCCCAACCTTCCTTCCGAGGAGTGGCTGGTGGGTTTGAACCGCCAGCCTCCTGGTTAGCAGTCAAGTGCCTTGGCACTATGCTACCAGAGCTCCCTGACTTACTGTACGGGTTGCCAATTCTGGGATTTGTTAGCCTCCACAGCCCATGAGACAGCCTGCAGTCTGACCGGCTGATCTTGGGTTCATCAGCCCATGCAGCTACATGAGTCAAAGGAAGCCTCCAGTCTGTTGTCCAACCCACTGACTTGGTACTTGCCAAACGAGAGGTACATATATGTATATGGGGAGTGCAAGTGGGAAATTAGGAAATTAAGAAACCTTTCGTATTTCACTTTACATATTTCTTGTTTAAATTTTTGAGAACAGTCACACTTTTTTCGTTTGTTTATTTTGATTTTTGCCATTAAAAAAATAAAGAGAAAAGCACAAAAAGATAGATTGGAAGAGAGCCTCTGGCAAAACTGGAGCTAGATTTCAAAGAGGAACTCTTAAGGTATTCACGAGGCCCTGGTGTCCTTGAAATCTGAAGTTGGTCTCTGCCCTCCACTACCTTCCATAGCCATCTGACCTTCCACAAATGTATGACAGGATTTCCTAGAAAACTTTTGATTTAGAGCCAGATAATTTATGTCTAATGCCCAGTTTTATCCCTTGTAGCTTTGCTATTTAAAAAAAAAAAACAAAAACCTCACTGCCATCAAGTCGAATCCAACTCATAGCGACCCTCCTTGGGTTTCCGAGGCAGTATATCATCACTACAAAAGTAGATTGCCCAACCTTCCTTCAGAGAAGTGGTTTGAACCGCCAGCCTTCTGGTTAGCAGTCAAGTCCCTTAGGCAATATGCTAGCAGAGTTCCATGCCCCATATAGGTGTTATTTAAGTTATCTGCGCAATGGTTTTGTGGGTTTTAAGGAAAAAAATACATTACCAATTTGAATATTAAACGAGAAAATTGAACTGTTTGGTAAACTGTGAAGCACAACACAAGCACAAGATGTTGACAATAAAGTGGGTAAAAGCGGTGCTCAACAACTTGTATTTTTGGTCTGTCCCCTTGATTCCAAAGTCCTTCTAGAGATAGAGAAGTGACAAGTGGGCTACAGAGAGGAAAGAAGTCTCTGAGGAGAGGTTCAAGCTAGGAGAAAAGTGATTAAAAAAACCCACACAAATGTAGCAGCACCAGTTATGTTACTTATGTAACTAAGAGAAGAATCATCCTGGTGGCCTTGATAAAATCACCAGGAGATGGTTAAAGTACAGCCCCAGGCCCCTGACAACACAAAGGACAGCTTTTTCTAAGGCTACCCAAGATCCTCTGACATGAGATGCGAGATTATTATAGAACCATTGTGTAGGGTTTGGAGCCTAGCAGTCTGCATATTTCATAAAAATATCTGCCCCCACCCCCACCCCCACCCCACCCCAGAGACTAGAAGCAAAAGGGATCCATAGAATGCATGAGTCATCATTCCTCTACCCAGGACAGTGCCTACAGAAACCATGCTCATCCAAAGTATCTTGAATAGATGAATGAAATAAATACATTCTCCAACTGTTTGATGGGCCTGGTTCCAATAATAATAATAATAATAATTTGTAATTGCATGTTACTGATGACTTAGCCATTTCTTCTTCACTCTAGGAATTTATCAATACATTTTTCTGGTTTATTATCCTTTCTAAGTTTTTATCTGAGTTTTGCCTTTTAAAGGGTTTGCAGGCTGTGAAAAGTAACTTTACACAACCCTGTTTCTTTCTTGGCCTTGAGGCAGTTTCTGAAAACAAATGGAACTGTGTGTGCCAGGACAGGAAAAAATAATAGTGAAAAACATTTACCAGCAACCTTCTAAAGATCCCAAAGGTCTTCTGGATTTTACTCATTCAGCTTCCCAATTTAACATCCATATGAATTCAACAAATAATATGTAGCAAATGTGAATCCACACAACTTTAGCACTGGAAAGAATCTTAATTGAAACCATTTACAAACAGGCCCGAAGACATAATCCTGAAAATTGTTTCTACACCTTGAGAAAAGAAAATAAAGATAAAATATATAACCAAACCCACTGCGATCTATCGAGTCGTTTCCGACTCATAGGGACCCCTATTGAGTTTTCAAGGCCATAAATATTCATGGAAGTAAAGTGCCTCATCGGGCCGCTGGTGGATTTGAACCGCCAACTTTGTAAATAGCGGTTAAATGCCTTAGGCACCGTGCCACCAGAACTCCTTACTGCACTTTATTCCCATAATGCACCAACAATACAAAAACTCCAGAGAAGTTTGGGACCAGCCTTGGAAGTGCAGCAAGGGCATCCAAAAAGCGGACTCTTAAGTCACTAGTTTGGACCCATAATTGTGCTGGTGATCCCGTTTGGAATATCTCTCCAGCTTTAAAAACGGCTTCGATGTGATTTGCTCGAGCAAAATGTGTACTTTTGCCACATCAAGCCAAACTGCCAGCTAAAGCGAGTTTAAAGCTTGACTTTTTTTCTTCATTGAAAGAGCCTTTTAATTCTCCCAGTTCCTCCCTCTTCCCCTGTTAAGCTTGTTTTCAAGCCATAAACTCGTTGCAACTCTGGGTTTTCATCTCGCTTGCCTGAGAATCGCAGTAACTAGCCAAGTTCACTTAACCAAAGAAAAAAATACCTTTGTGTACTTAATGAGAGCCACCACGTGGCCAAGGATGACTATGGGGAAGAAGGAAACATTTTTGTCTCCCGCAGCCGGAAAGCGGGGGGAGGGGAGTCCGGTCGACTGAAGACGCGGTTTGTAAAGTCTCAACGAAAGCCAAGGAGCAGCCGCAGCAGCTTTCGAAGTTCGCAAACAAAGCGTCTCCGGAGTAACCGCCTGGCTCCAGACGCGGCTCCTGCCACTCAGGCCGCGAGGTCGCTGCGTGGCCGCCAGCTCCTCCTCCCGGCGTCCTTCCTCCGCCCTCCTCTCTGCTCTCCCGGCGGATGTGGGCCACCAATCCTTGTTACAAACAACCCTTCAAACGAAAGAATGGAGAGGCCCGCTAGCGGGCGGCGCGGCGCGCCCTTCGCCCCACATCTGTCCTGCACCCGCGCGCCGCCGCAGCGGTTTCCTATCCCTCCAGACCTGGAGAGCTGCGCTCGGTCCAGTCAGTCCCAGGGCAGGCCCACCTGGCTGCCCCCCCAAGATCACGCACCCCTTGTGCTGTGTTAGATGTGTCTTCTCTGGTGTCCAGCGGTCGTCAAACGACTGCAGGAAAAAAAAAAATAATAACCTCTAGGATTCTTGTGTCCTTACAGTGACGTTTTTTCTCCTTGGTTATCCATTTTAAGTCCTGTAACTGGATAAACCACTAAGCTTTTTAAACTCTGGCCTTACTGCACACGTGTGTGTGTGTGTGTGAGTGTGTGTTCTTAAGAGCACACGAGCGAGGGGGCGACAGGGGTGGGAGGCTGGCTTTAGTTTTCAGAGTAATCCTAAAACACAGCCTCCAAAGTCTAGTCAGTCATTTTTTGGCTTGCCTTAGCCCTTGTTGGGTTTAACCTTATTTCCACGGAGCTACCACTGGTGGAATGTCCACCGAGGTTACAAAACAGAAACAGCATAGAGCTGAAACTGGAGGCAGACCCGGGCGCTGACGTCTCTACTAGACTTATTTACGTTTTGGTTTTTTTTTGTAACTCCCCCCCCCCCGCCTTTTTTAAGTGAGAGGAAAGTCTTACTGTGGCAAGTGACAGTTCGTTTGCTTCAAAACAACGGAAAACACACGCGCAAACTACACCTAGAGGAGGGGCAGGGAGAAGGGCTGCGATTCTTGCTTCCAGCCACACAGCCATCTGGTCTTTTAAAAGGTAATTTCATCAAGGAACTCCTGTTGGAGTCCTCATAACTCTCAACCAAAATAAATCAACGGGAACATGTGTTTACTTCATGGCTAGTTTCTGTATGGAATACCGGAGGGGAGGAGGGATCCCCTGGCAAGGTTTAAGTCCTAAAAGTAGGCACAGTTTATCGAAATAGATAAGCAGTCCCGACGTTGTCGCCCCTTTCTCTTAAAGGCAGCAGCTGACTGGGCCCCGGGGCGGAGAGGCTGTCAGCCCCAAGTGGCAGGGGGCAGGCGCGCGACCAGCCGTCTCCAAGCAGAAAAGCATGTGAGCATGACAAGTGTCTGTCCGCAACGTGTTAGATGTCGAAACTGCCTTGCAATCCTGTCCGGAACTCGCAGCTATAGCCCGGGGGAGCAGACCTTCTCCTGGGTGTCTTATGTCTCATTCCCCCGAACCCCTGCAACAGAGGCTGTGGGAAGACGAGTCCCGGACAAGAAGGGTGCGCCGAAGCGCACCGGCTTGTCCTGGACAGCCGCGCGTTCTGGAAGAAGTTCCTTCTTGCCCGGAGTATTTTTCCTCCCGCGCTCCACCCCTTGAATCTGAAGCGGCTGCCGGATCCAGCGACTGGAGCAGGGGCGACGAAGTCCGCGGCAGCTGTGAATAACGACAGGGGGCAGCCTTTGCTTCCCGGGGGTGGAGGAGGGAGTCTGCAGTTTTACAATCAAACGCACCCTCGCCAGCCCGAAAAGAAAGGCCCAAAGGAAAACGCCGGGCGCCCCGCCACCTCAGTAAGGACACAGGCTCTGTGAGCGCAGCCGGCAGGAAGGATTGGGTTTCTCGATCCCCACCCCCGAGCCGCCCCCGCGAGTGACGGGTGACAGCGGCCGGGCGTCCCCGTCTCTCGGCTTGGGTCCCGGGATCCCGGAGCTGGAAGGTGTGGGGGAGGGGCGAAGAGCCGCGGGAGGGCGGGGGACGGGGCGGGCGGCGGGGGGCGGAGGCAGGACCTCCTGTACCTTCCCTCAGCGCCTTGCTCACTCTGACAGCGCGGAGGTGCGCCGACCAGGAGCCGGGAACAAAGGAGCCAAGTGGGGAGAGGAGCTTGTCTGGGGAGGGCGAACCCCGGCAGCCGCCAGAAGATCCCTGCAGGAGGAAGCCCAAGTGTCAGTTGAATTCCATCCAAGGACCAGACGCCTGGGACCAGAGCGCCTTGTTTAGCAATAACGGCTGGAGCACCTACTCCAAGTTACGGGAGAGTCTGCGGTGCAGGAGGACCCACGCCTGCCCTCTCGACCACCACTCCTGGCTCCTCTGGCCCCCAGTCTTCCCTCCCGCGGGAAGTGGAAATCCAGAATGAAAAGTAAGAAAGGTAAGCAAGCCGCGTGCAGCGCGCGGTTTGTGCGCGACTCCAGGGGACTTGATGGCGGGGCCCAGCCGAGTGGGGTGCTGTAGTGACTTTGTGGACTTTAACGCCGAGGGACTCTAGGGCAGCTGTTTCTTTGTTGGGGCTTGGTCTGAAATGGCAGTTGATGTTTCCCTTCTAGACAAAACACGAGGAACTGTTGTTGGGAGACCGGCCCTTCCATGCTGCTGGCACGTTGTCAAGAAACATGCTCTGCCGTCTTGTTTGTGCTGCTCCAACTTTCATTGTCTGAGCCGACACCCCACGCTCCGGCCGGCAGCGCCTGGGCTTCTCGCCTTTTCTCGCAGGCTGAGGGGATGGGGTTCCGGCCAGGCTCCAGGACGGGGGAACCCCGTGCTGCCTCCTCTGGCGCAGCGCGGTGGGGTCCCTGACACCCGAGATTGCGGAGCCGCCGAGCCTTTGTCTCAAAAGTTGGGCTTACGGACTCCCACGCCCAGCTGGGCTCGGCGCCCTCTTTTCTTTAGGAATGTGGCGTTTTCGTAATTCAAGGGACGTAATTCTGGACCTGAAACTGCCCTCAGGTGTAAATAGTTTTGGAAAGCTAAGACTTTTAAAAAAAATCCTTAGTCTTTAAAAGTTTTCCCATGATGAATTGGGGCAACATTAAGTGTTGGAACTTAGGGCATGCTGCTTGAAGCGGCGTGCAGTCAGAATGTGCCCAAGTGTGACAAGCAGGCTTGGTTGTGAGTGCAGAAAGTAACCCTGTCATTGTTTCCACGAAGCATTCTGGAAGCTTTACAACTAAAACTTACCGTCAGTCTAGTTTAAAAACAAAGTACACGGAAAAAAAAAAACATGAAAGGTCAGAGATTTTGAACTCCCTTTTGAAGTGAACTTTTGCGTCCCTGGTTGGGAGGTGCCCTCGAATATTCAGTCGTTGACCTGGAGTTAGCTCTTATGTTGTGATTTATGTGGAGTGGTTCAAAACAGAAGTTGATCGCTTGTGGAAGCAAACGGGCGCGGGCGGGAGGGGTTGTCTTGACACTGCGCATGCCCAGTAGCTGGCTAGAGTTTTTTAACTCCACATTCTTTCAGACTCGTTATACCTTGATAGACATTACAGCAAGTACAGTTAAAACGGAACATTTGAAAGTGAAACAGCCTAATACCCGAGAGAGTTTCTTCGGCTACTTTTTTACTTTGGGGTTCTGTTCATTTGATTCTGTGAAGGACTTTGAAACAGGTGGAATTTATCTTTACCCAGTCAGACTAAAATTAAACATCACAACCAGGCTAATACCGTAGTAGTTCGTAGTAGGAATCTCTGTGGGGAAATGAAGGGGTTTGCTTGGCTCTGAGACAAAAACACTCCCGAGGAGAGTCCAGGGTCACCTTTCTAAGGTTGTCTCAACTCTTGGTAGGACTGACAGATCATGATCCTTACTGAAAGGGTTCTGTTTGAGTGGAGCTAACTTCTGTAAGTTAGTTGGAGGTTTTGTTTTTTGAACAGTAGTTCTTCACCGGGTGCAGGCTTTCCCCATTGTTCAGGCTGGGGGGTGGGGTAGGGTGACTGCCGAGTCTCTGCGCCTCTGAGGCCCACCCTGGTCTCCCTCCTGTTCCCCCCACCCCCGGCCCACCATAGTTCTCTCCGGCGCTCCCACCCCCACTTGTGACCCCTCCGCGGCCTCCTCTCCTCCCAGCAGAAGAACGAGGCTGGAAAATGCCAACAGGATCAGTGGGAATACTCACGGTAACCAGCCCTAGCCTACTCAGCGCCAAGTCATGGAAACAATGAAAGGTTGACATGTTGGAGAGGAAACTTGGGTGACTGGTGTACAGCTCGTGCGGGGGAGCTGAGAATACGATTTCCTTTCCCTTCTTAGATTTTCCTGGCAGGCCACTCAGAATGTTCAAATTCATGGCATAGCTTCTAGTTTGTTCTTATGGCATGAAACTTTTGAAATACTCTTCTGGTTGTGCTAACTTCCATGGTTTTAGGCACGGATTGAAGCGGAGGCTGAGGAACTCTCAAGAACAAAAGCCACTTCGCTTGCTCCCGGGGAGGGTCCCTCCCTCCCTGCGTTCCTCCTCCGCCCCTGCCTCCTCCCTTTTAAAAATACCTTTGAGGGGCTGAAAAAGTTCCCAGAGTTGTAGGCTCTGGAAGGACTCTTAAGTCCATCCCGCCTGGCGGATGGGGTTAGATGGAGTTAGACTATTTGTTTTGTGAAAAAGGCTTGTGAAAATCTTTTGACGTTTACGTTAAAACAAAAAGCATCTTAAACCCAATTAGAGAGCTCGGAATTTGCTAAGACTGCTGTGTGATTATGTGTAGTCTTGAAGAACCAATAAAAAACAAACCAAACCCACTGTCATCTAGTCGATTCTGACTCAGAGCGACCCTGTAAGACAGAGTAGAATTCCTCCGTAGGGTTTTCCAAGGCTGTAAATCTTTTCAGAAGCCGACTGCCTCATCTTTCTCCCGTGGAGCAGCTTCTGGGTTTAAACCGCTAGCCTTTAGGTTTGTAGGCGAATGCTGTAACCACTGCGCCACCAGAGCACCTTAAAAAGTCAAGGATGCCTAGAGCATCTATTTAAATGACCTAGGTTCCATGAGGAAAATCCCTCGAGCCTTTTTGCTCCTGGTTTCTGACAATGTTAAATTCTTGCTTTAGAGTTCCTCTTTGCCTGGGACCAGACAAGCACACCTTGGATTTAGTGACTGAATGTTATGACTCCTGTTGCTTCTCCCGAGGCAATTTTCTGGTCAGGAGACTTGTTTATGAGTTTGGTTTTTCCTAACTGTACACTTAAAGTCTTCCTTATATTTACTCTTTCTACTTCTAGATTATTTTCTAGTGTGTTTTAGGCTTTATAGTCCAACTTCACAACCACTAAGAAAGCGCAGAAGCAAAATTACTTTTCAGAGTTGTGGGATCCGTAGGCCATCTTGTGACTCTAAACTACATTTCCTTGTATGTGGATAGAGTAAAAAGCTTGTGATTTCCCCCTCTCCTGGAACATTTTTAATAGTGTAAGCAACAAGTAATTTGGAAACAAGTCATAACTGGGAAACTTTTCAAAAGCTCTGTTACAATAGGAAATGACTAAGGAGGAAAAAAATCTTTTTTATTTTTCAAAGTTGATCTACCTTTGGTAGGGAGAGTTTTAATGAAAACAGTCCTGACAGAAGCAAACGTGGTTTTGCTGCAGTGTAATGTCAGCTGGCCGTAGCCAAGGAACTGAAGTCTTAACTTCCTGTTACTTAAGCTTTTGTGCACATATTGGAAATATTTGTTAAGAGGTTCAGAGGCCTGGCATTCATTTATTGAAATGAACTGAGAACAGAGGAAAGTCGCACTGGAGTTTGGTGTTGCTTAACTGAAACCTGCTTTTGTGTCAGTGTCACTAACCTATTCTGAGAGATCAAGCTTCATATCAAACTAAGAGAGAATTTCAAAGGGCAGGCTTCAGTTCTTTTTTTGTTTGTTTGTTTCAAACTCTTTATTATTGCCAAGTTACAGTTGGGAATTCACTGTTCAGTGAACAAATTTCCACACTTTTTCTAGGTTGAAAAACAGGACGATAATATCCTTGAAAAATGACTTTTCAGACCTTGGAGCACTTAAACAAATTACTTTATTCAAATTTTCTTTAGTCATTCAATTGCTTGGTACATTCTTAAAAGTTAGATTTCTTTAATTATTAAAGTGACTGTAAAAGTAAAACAGGAACTCATTTATAATTTCTTAAGGTTTTTATTAATAGCGCTACACCTACATATTAGGCTGGTGTTTAAAAGGTTCCTATTTTTCTCAACAGTGAAAGCAGTTTCAGTTTTAAAAATGTGCCTTCTCAAAACTTTAAAAAAAAAATACTTTTTTTTTTTAAGTAGTTTAAGTAAATCCTCAGTGAATGGAAACTTCAAAATAGGGAGTGGTTAAAATAGAATTCCTAATGAGCTTTATTTATGGTTGTTTGTTAAGCCTCTAGCTAAAGTGAATTTGCAAGACCATTCTCTTTTGTTAGAACTTGCTTTACTTTGTCTTTGGAGGGTTCCTTTCTTTGGGCACTCCCTCAGCACCTTCTGCCCTCTGCAGTCCAAAACAAAAAATGCTTCACTAAGCAAAGTCAGAGTCAATTAACTGGTGAGCTATCTCATCAACAAATCTTTAAGTAGTTTTTTCACTTTGTGTTAAAATGCTTTAAAAGAATGGGTTTAAAAATTCCTTAGAAATATATCACATGCTTTATCAGAAATAGTCTTTGTTTTGTTTTCTATCATGGAAAACCTGCTCAGTTAAGGTTGAGTCATTTTTCAAACTAAATACTACAGACAAAAATATAAATTTTTGTAAAGCTAAAAAGGTATACCATAAATCTTTAATTTTGTCATTCTAATTAATTTCCCAAATATGGAGATACTCAAGTATGTGATAGTTTGTCATTCATTTGTATTTATTAAAGTTCTAGATTGTCTTTAAAGAAGAGAATGCATTTCTTTAGTCATTTTGAGTTACCTATTGAAAGGGGAGGGGTTAACACTATTTGTTATTTAATTTTTCTAAAGTTCAAAATGATGTTTAACCATCCCTAAAGGCCACTTGTGAATTTCATCTATAAGTATCCTCTGCAATAGGATTAAAGTACTTAAAGCCAAAGAGTTTCCTTTGGGGATTTCACTATTCAAATTTCTTTGTCCTGTAATAAATTAAGACTGAACTCTGCTTATTGATACCAAACAAAAACCAAACTCACTCTCATTGAATCAATTCTGACTCATAGTGACCCTTTAGGACTGTGACTGCTAACCAGAAGGCTGGCGGTTCAAGCCCACAAGTCACTCCTTGGAAGGAAGGTTGGGCAATGTAGTTCCGTAGTGATACTGCCTGGGAAACCCAAGGAGGGGTCGCGATGAGTTGGGTCCTCCTCCATGGCAGTGAGTTTGGTTTTTTGGTTTAGAACTGTTCCTTAGGGTTTCCAAGGTTTTCTCCTCTTTTCTCCCTTGGAGCAACAACCACTGACCTTTTGGTTAGTGGTAAAACACATTAATCACTGCACCACTAGTAGCGTCAGATTAAATTGACAGTTGAAGTTTATGGAAACATTTTGTTTTACTCAATATTGGACATCTTTGGATATCTTAATAAAGTACTGTTGTTGTTGTTGTTGTTGTAATGTGCCGTCGAGTCGGACCCGACCCATAGCGACCCCTCCTTGGGTTTCCAAGGCAGTATCACTACGGAAGTAGATTGCCCCATCTTCCTTCCGAGGAGTGGTTGGTGGGTTTGAGCCGCCAGCCTTCTGGTTAGCAGTCAAGTGCCTTAGCCACTGTGCTACCAGAGCTCCCTGATAAAGTACTAGTAGTAATATAAAAATATTTTATGTAATATAATTGAAAACTTCATTAAGTTTTTTATGTAATGAAAAGTGATTAATGCCTTCCAATACAAGTAGGTTTATAATTTTGACTAATTATAGATAGCAATGAATAAGAAATGACCATGAAATTAGCATAAATATTTAACATGTATTTTATCTCTAAATAAATGTGTCACTTTTTCTCTGTATTGGGGGACAAGTACAAACCTTTCCCTTTTATTTCAAAACTTCACTGGGAGAAGGAGAAAGAACAGCATTTAAAGTGTGCATTAGAGTACTTGTAAGATTGTTTTTCCTAGTTAGCAATGAGCTTAAAAAGAAGGTTGTTGGACACATTCTGACCTCTGCAGACCCCTTCCTGTTTCACGTGTGGCAGGCTATTCACTTTGGGTGCAGTTTGCTCTGTTGAATGAGAGAAAGACTTCTGAAGATGATTCAAAAGGAATGTAAGATGTTAAATCCTATAGGAAAGTGAGTAAGAACAGGCTTCTAAGACAGTTTGTTGAGAATCTACTCTGTGCTGTGAGTCAAATTACCCTTTTAAGCATTTCATTTATACTCCGGTACTTCAGAACACAAAAATCACTTACCCTTTGCCTAACTCTTAACTACTGAAAGTAGTTAAGAGAACATAACATTGATGGTCAAAATAAATACGCCTTCCACTAGGTGCTCTGCTGATAAAGCTATTGATATGACCTTTGTCCTTTCCTAGGTGTTGTTGCAGCATCTGGCAGTGAGACTGAGGATGATGACAGCATGGACATTCCCCTAGACCTTTCCTCTTCAGCTGGCTCAGGCAAGAGAAGGAGAAGAGGCAACCTGCCCAAGGAATCTGTTCAGATTCTCCGGGATTGGCTGTATGAACACCGATACAATGCTTATCCCTCAGAGCAAGAAAAAGCATTACTGTCCCAACAAACACATCTATCCACACTACAGGTAAGGAGAAAAAACACAAAGTGTAGGCATACTTTTTTCTTCCCCAGTCATTTTATAGAATTTTTCTATGTTGAACCATTAAGCTCCTCCCTACTCAAAAAAGATTTTTTTTTATTGTAGACTTGATAGTGCTAAAAGCTAGTAACTGGCTGTTTAGAGAAACATAGAAACACTTGACATTATCTGTCAAATAGCATTCTCTTTAATACCTAAAAGCCTTCCTTTATGCAACAGACGTAAAAAGATTAAACCTTACTCTATTACCCAGGAAACTGGTTTGGTATTTAAGTAAGGACAGACTTCAGTGAGGTAATTGATGTTATGTCTGTTGACATAGTCGTTTGAACTGGGAAAAATCAGTAACTGGGAGGAATGGCCCTTTTCAGACAGGAAAAGTTTTTCTATAGTTGATTAACCTAAATACTGGGACAATAGATAATATGTTAATATGGAGAAAAATAAAAAGATGCAAACCTTTCTCCCTAAAATCATTTTTTGACATTTGGGAATTTATGGCTTTTTACTCTCTCTGTAAAGATTGAAAGATGAGATTAAAAAGGAGGGGGGAATTTATATTAGAAGAGGAAGAGGTTTATGACAGGAAACAGTTCTTGGCTGGGATCAAATCCCTTAAAATAGCTTTGTGAGCTCAGATAAGCCTTTTCATGCCTTCTTTAATACAAAAAGAAAGGTCAATTAGGAACCCCATAGAAGGTTCTCAAAAAGTGTTTGCTGAGTGAATGAGGACAGTGTTAAAGCATACTGATATGATTTCAGGTCTGTAACTGGTTCATCAACGCCCGCCGCAGGCTCCTCCCTGACATGCTGAGAAAGGATGGCAAAGATCCAAATCAGTTCACAATTTCCCGCCGTGGGGCCAAGATTTCTGAAGCTAGCTCTGTGGAGTCAGCAATGGGCATCAAAAACTTCATGCCAGCTCTAGAGGAGAGCCCGTTTCATTCCTGTACAGCTGGACCAAACCCCACCCTAGGGAGGCCACTGTCTCCTAAGCCATCATCCCCAGGATCAATTTTGGCTCGGCCATCAGTGATCTGCCATACCACGGTGACTACATCAAAAGACGTGCCTTTCCCGCTCTGCCAGTCGATAGGTGTGGGACAAAACACAGATTTACAGCAGATAGCAGCCAGCAACTTTATAGACACCTCCCTTATGTACCCAGAGGACACATGTAAATCTGGACCAAGTACAAATACACAAAGTGGTCTTTTCAACACTCCTCCTCCTACCCCACCGGACCTCAACCAGGATTTTAGTGGATTTCAGCTTCTAGTGGATGTTGCACTCAAAAGGGCTGCAGAGATGGAGCTTCAGGCAAAACTTACAGCTTAACCCTTTTTCAAGCAAAGCAGTTCTTAAAAATGTCATGATTGCCGGGGTGATGGCAAGAGACAAATTGCATTATTTTATATATATATTTTTTTTTATTAATATTTGCACATGGGATTGCTAAAATGAAGCTTCCTGTTACTGAGATGTCTTCAATGGAATACAGTCATTCCAAGAACTATAAACTCAAAACTACTGTAGAAACAAAGGGTTTTCTTTTTTAAATGTTTCTTGGTAGATTATTCATAATGTGATATGGTTCCCAAGATCATGTGATTTTCCCCTCTCCCCTTTCTTTTTTTTGGTTGGTTTTTTCAGACTGTGCAATACTTAGAGAACTTATAGCATCTTTTCATTCCCATGTGGAACAGGATGCCCACATACTGTTTAATTAATAAATTTTCCATTTTTTAAAAAATATGAATCTAGCTGATAAATGATGCCTTTTTTCATGACATAATAAAGTATTTTCTTTAAAAATTATTGTAATGCAGAATATTTTGTTGAGACAGATGCTTCTTAACAATGAGTAGGAATATAGCGCTCTAATGAGCAGGAAGTTGGGGGTAGGGTGGAGTGTGAGTTGGGGGTTTCATCAGCTCTTTGAAGAACCGTGGACAGCAAACCAATATGTATAAACAGGATGTGTGTTACTTACTGTTGATAGGGGGGATAGTGGGCCCTTAAATCTTTACTAAAACCTGTATTAGCAAATTAAAGTGAATCATTTCGTCCGTGTGTAGCCTGCCTTTAAAGCCCTTGATGATCTTTCCTGCATATTTTGAATCATGGCTAATGTTGAAAATAAAGGCCTTGAAGCTCCTGGTTATGACTTAAGTTTTCAGAAGTAAACAACCCAAGTAATCTCTTGGCATTGCTTTTTTTCTACATTGCCCTATAAAATAACCTTTGTTCAGTGGTACAAGTAGTTAGGTAATGTCTTTGCATGCAAATATGACTTAAATTGTACATAAATAGTTTTGAGAATATCTTAAAACATTTCCTAAAGTGATGAGGTTAGCAGTGGGCTTCTGAATATGTTGGGGTTGTTAGTTTATTAGGTAAACATTTCCCAGTGTCACAGTTTGCAGGGGGAAATAAAAAAAGATGCTATGTACCAGTGGCATTGTTGGGATAGGCAACTACTTACCAAACCAGGATGGGCAAAAGGGAGTTGGTGATACCCCTTTCACTTACATGGTTGAGTAGATATGTCACATGCCACAAAACCAATTTCTGTTGTCATGCTTGAACATAGTCATCATCTTTCCAGTCCTTCTCCAGCTATGAATTATCTGAATTTGAGAAAGCATCATAACTTCAGTATTTAAAGAATGTAGAAAAATTCTCCCAAATTTAATTCTGGAACCCTATTTTAGAAAATTCCTACTATAGAAAGAGCTAAACTCAAAATTATTTTTTAAGTGAAAGTAAAAAATTGACAATGACAACCAAGAGATACAGGAAAAATGAGTGAGGGAAAGGTGTGGTGCTCTAGCCTATGACGGTACAACTTCAAACGGCGCTTATACCTTGAGTAACCTGGCCCCACCTTAAAGCTTCAAAATAGATTTAAACCATAAAGGAAATACTAATAAAAGAAACAATATAAGCATAAATAAAAATGAAATAAAGGTGCTAAGAATCTTTGCTGTTCCAGTAGTTAGAATGAAGACCTAAATTTTGCCTTGAATGCAGATGAGCAAAACTATCAAATCCTGAAAGCCTTTCCTTGTTAAGACGAATTCACTGTACTAAAAGGGAAAAAAAAGGAGCCATATGAGGAATTAATAACAAAAAAAGTAACTGTTAAAGATCAAATAAAAACCAGAGATTAATAACAATGTCATCTTAAATTATTTACCTATGTAGTAGTTAATTTTTTCCTATTTTTGGGTTGATAAAAATCGTCATTGATAGTAGCTTGACCATAATAAATATGTTTTTTTTAGAACCAGTAAATGTAATTGGAAAGGTAAATGTTTGGTATTAAAACCTGTTCATACCAAAGCCAAATATAAATGATTTTTATATTATCATTTATAAGGTACATACTTTTTCATTTGTTTACTTTTAACCGATTTTGTGTGTTGTTGTTTAGAGTTAATCTCTTTTAGATGGCAGATAGTTGGGCCAGGCTCTTTTATCTAGTCTTATAATCTCTGCATTTTACTTGGCTTTTTTAGTCAATTTACATTTAATATAATTATTGGTAGTTTGGTATATGTTTACCAATCCCCACTTCCCCTGGCCCTGTTCTTCCTTTCCTGCCTTTTCGTTTAATCAAGTATTTTTTGGTATTTTGTTTTAATTTTTACATTGGCTTATTATTTATACATTTTTTCTTTTTTAATGATTGTTCTAGGGGTTACAATATAATTCTTTAACATCACAATCTTAAGGTTAATATTATACAACTTGATATAAAATATAGAACCTTGCGAGAGTATAGTTTCATTGACCCTCTCCTCTCTTCCTCTTTTTCATATATATACAGCCACATAGATGATAAACTCAATGGTAAATCTTATACTTTTTGCTTTAATCAGATCTGTTGATTTTTAAAAATTAAGAGAATAAAGGATGTATATATGATCTTTCATATTTGCCAAATATCATTTCTAGTGCTCTTCATTCCTTCCTTTAGATCTGAGTGATATCTGGTGTCAATTTTCTTCATTTTGAAAAATTTCCTGGAAAATATCCTGTAGCACAGGCTTGCTAGTGACAAATTCTGTTATTTTGTTAATTAAAAATGGCTTTATTTTACTTTCATCTTTGGAGGATAGGTTTATTAGATATAGAATTCTAGGTTGATTTTTATTCTTAATTTTTTTCTCTTTTTCCTTTTAGCACTTTAAAGGCATTCATTATCTTTTGGCTGCCATTGTTTCTGATGAGATGTCATCTGTCATTTGTATCATGGCAGTTTGTATGTACTATCTTTGGGTTGTTTTGTCTTTGGATTTCAGCATTTTTGACTCTGATATGCCTACCTATGGTTTTCTTAGTGTTTATCTGGCTTGTGGAATCTGCATGTTCTAAGAGGTTAACGTGCTCAACTGCTAACCAAAGGGTTGGAGGTTTGTGTCCACTCAAGTATGTCAGAAGAAAGGCCTAGAGATCTAATTTTGAAAAATCAGCCACGAAAACCCAACGGAGCACAATTGTGCTCTGACACACGGGATGTCTGTGAGTTGTAATTGCCTTGACCACGACTGGTATTGCTCACTTGTTTGGGGTTCATTGGTCTTCTTGGGCATGCAAGTTTGTTTTGACCAAATTTTGGAAAAATTTTGGCCATTCTTTTTTTTTAATTGTGATTTGGGTGACAGTTTATAGAGCAAATTCACTTACCATTCAGCAGTTCACATACACTTTGTCTCATGACATTGACTACAGTTTACCCCAATGCAACAGCTCCCCTCCCACTTCCTCCCCATAGTTACCTCTTCCCAGTGTCCATCGCTCCATACACTTCTGCCCCCTGAGCTGTCTCCCTGTGCATAAATAGCCCTTCTTTCTCCCATGATTGTTCTCTCCAAGGAGTCTATCTACTTGAGGTAAATGTTCAGCTCATATGCCTGTCTTTTGTTTGGCTGGAAACCACACGTGTGGATTCAGTGGTTCCACCAGGCTCTATCAGATCAGCAAACCTGGTCCCAACCTTTTTTTTTTTTCCAAATGATTTTGAGTTTTGTTCCACATTGTTCTCCCTTTCTACTCAGGATCTCCTACATAGATCCCCTTCCAAGGGGATGACAGTGGTAGCCAGGCACCATCTAGTTCTGGTCTTGTAGTTGTATAGGCTGCAGATCGGATGGTGTACCAGTCGCTAAGACTAATTGTTTCCATGAATTTTGGTTTTCTTCTTTCTTCTTTGCTCTGGACGAGGAGAGACCCATTGTTGCATCTAGATGGCAGCTTGCTAGCTTTTAAGAT